CCTGAAACATAATCCGAGATGGTGAGACAAAGCAAGAATCAGAGTGAACCATGAGAGAAGGGGAGGTATTCCAGCATTCCAGCTTCCAGCAAGTCGGAAACTGATCGAAGATCAGTCGTGCACCTTCTTGAGGCCCTTTCTTGAGGCACGTTCCTGCGAGATCCTTGCAATCTCTTGCAGCGCATGAAAATCCTTATTAGATCATAAAGCTTGATTGAACCCCTTATGGGACGTCTGAACTTATGTCTCACCACACATTCACAGGACATGTACAAGTTCAGCTCTTGAGGATTTCGGCTTGGGGCGTCTAAGGCTCAGCGCTTCATCCACGCTCCACGCATTTGGTCTATTGTCTGCAAAAAAGAAGGAAAGCAATGAACAAACCAAATAAAAAGCAAATATCAAAATGCTAGCTTTCCGGTGATTACTTCATCATGCTCACGCGTTCAACTGTGCCCCGAGGATCCAGTTCTCATCCACAACCCACGGAGAGGAGAGAGCCAGCAAGTGAAGAGACAAACTTCGTTGAAGCTGTCAAGAACCCCGTCGAATTTTGCAAGCCAAAGCCACTCCGCCCTCAACCAGAAAATAAGGTGGCCGGATTCGGATTTTTCACTGAGCTCGAACTTAGCTGCAACACAATCGTCTTCGTGAAAGACCTGTAGGTTGTTGGATCCGCGTTGGATCTGCAACTTAGAAACTGCCCGTGAACTTCAATTTGCCCCTGCAGCGTGTTGGCTAGGACGCGCTACCAGCAAACTCTGAGCATATAGCACATCCTGCCGGAAAGCCTGCCAGCAAGAAAGACCTGTATGGAAACACAAAGAATTTCAAATGAAAGTGCAGCACAACCATGATTTTTGCCCCAGCATGCAGTGCCACAAAACATGAACACAGTCAACGCATACAGGGGCAGCAGATTGGCATGGCCTCAACTTGGAGCTGCGGACGGAGGCGGGAAGCGGCCCTTGCTCTCAACTCTGTACCCCGATACTCCGATGGATTCCACGGTGGGATCTCCTCGCGCATGTGCCAGGCAGTTGCAGGGCAGTCATCCTCATCTGCAAGACAGCGACTGCCTTGGGCAGGAGGAGTGGGCGCGGCGGCCTTCAGGCACATAGCTAGCAGAGACTTTGGTGACTCTGGAAGTCCTGTAATGGCCTCCACTCCGCAAGATGTCGCATCTCAGAAGCAACAGGCGTTCGTGCAGCCTGCAGGCACTTCAGGAGCCCATACGCGTCGATCCTGGTATGTGCACCTCCACGTGGGCAGCCTGTTGTACAGGCTTGGCATGTTTGGCCTGCTGCTGTCGCAGGTTGGATTTCATCGACAGTTCCGAGATTCAGAACATTGCCTAGTGTTGGCATTTGACAATGTGGGCATCACCCGTGCGCACGCGTGCGCAGCAGGGAATGCCGCATCAGCTGTGAATCCAACACGTGCATGAACAGCAAGAGATGCTGGCAATCGCAGAGCAAAGGCGTTGCAGAAACCAGTGTTGCTGAAGAGTGCACAAGATGAGAAGCCTCGCGCTACCACCATAGCATTCCAAAGACTTGCTAATGCCAACGTGATCTTGAATGTGTACTTTCTTGCCGTCTCTCATAGCAAGGAATGTCCACCAAAAGCTGACCAGAAGACAAGTTTGCAACGGGTCCTCGACATGACCAGGTGGCAACCTTCGATGCAGGACACTATGCCTGGCGCGGCATGATGTAATCCGGCCAAAAACTAAGCCAAAGACCTAACGTCCTCGCAGCTGTTGTTGTTGCTTTCCTTCCAATGGAGGGAAAGGAGAAATCTCTGTAAATGCAATGGGCGGACAGGACCTGCTCTGAAGGCGCTTTCGAAGCTGAAGGTTCCGTTTTGACTTCATTCACTTCATTCTGCTCGTTCTGCTTCTGCTCACTTCTCATCGAAATGTGCAGAACGGGCCTGGCGGATTTGGCGGAATACTGGCAGAACAACAATAACATCCTTGCGCGTGGCTTTGCCTCTTCTGATCTTCTTGATCCGTGGCCTGTTGCAACAGCAGATTTGCAGATTCCTGTGTATAGATAATCAAAAGACCTTCAAATTAGCCAACAAGCTTCCCTTGCATGTGCTGGAAGCTTCTGGAACGCTGCAGATTAGCTAGCCGGAGGCCACCTGGAGAAATTGTTCCTAGCTGCATATCTGAAAGCACAATGCGCCCATGGTGGGCTGTCCAAAAAAACTAGGTCGCGTGAAGCCTTTAGGCGAGGTCACGCCTTGCATCCAAAAACCAATGCACATCCATATCGTTACCTCTTGTGAGATTGCCTAAGGCCCACGGTCTAAATGCCACGGGGATTTGCTGGATCCTTGCGGGAGGACTTCATAGCAAAGACGAAAAACAGTAAGCGAAGCAGTCTACATAAGTGTCGTGCCTGCCCTACATGTAAATTCCACACAAGCCCTTTGACCACCGGCCATATCCAAACAAAAAACGCAACTCGCAGGCACTGCAGGAGATAAGAGAATCGCGTCTGAGCGGAAATGTTGCTTGCCCTCAGTTTCTCTTGCATGCGGCCTGTTCTTGATACTGCCTCGACCTGCCTCAGGTCAGAGGCTACATAGCCATGCCCCACAGCGAGCGACGCCAGGTTATGACCACTAATTGATTGCCAATTTACCAATCAGCATGAGAGCATCGCGGTGCGGGAACTTGGAAGGTGCAGGCCCACAATCCGCAACCATTGAGGCAGGTAGTATGTGGAGATGTATCAAAAAGGTTCATGGTACTGTTAGTCACACCAGGCTTGGACGGGGGCCAGCTCCATCTGCAAACGATTTCCGGGTGTTGAGGAATGCCGGGGGGGAGGGGGCTGGGGGGCCGCAGGAAAAAAACATATCTGAGAATCTCCACTTTCGAGTTTACGAAGTGATTCGCGGACACATCGACAATCCAGCATCCTACCAATTTGGGCCTGCCCTCGCACGACCAGGTGATCCCATGATATCTCAAGCGAATTGAATGTAAGGAAGCTGCTAAGACTGAAAAATAGTTGCGGTAATGCATTCGCGCAGAGAATTTACAAAATGCCCAAGCTCAAAAAGCTGCCATAGGCAAGCAATACCCGCGTAAAAGGCATCAAGACAAGACAAGAAAAAAACACACGCACATCATCCGCAAATCCCAAGAAAAAGTCATGCCAACGTCGGACAGCACCGCCGTAAAGTGACCAGCAAACCAAACGTGAGTTCGTCAAATCTTTGGGGTATAAGAGCACTAGCAAAATGTAACCAACTCCTGAAATTGAAAGGTGATTCACGCTGGAGAGGGCCAGCGCCCGTTTGCACCGCTCCTATTAAAACCGCACCGATTTTCCGAGTAAAAGTGCGTAAGCCGCACGCATCATTCCCGAGCTTTCGCCGCCCCTTCCGCAAGATCAAGGTTTAGTTTAGCATCCGGACTCAAGGCCGAGAAAAGTATCACTCAAGTTGAAGCCGCCACCCACAAAGCTGATGCTTGCTGAGATTCTGCTTGCGCGAAGACATGGCTAACTCCTGCTGGTACCTAGTTTTCTGCGGTGCCGCATCACTTGGCAGCTTTCGGCTGCCTTCTCAGCCAAACCCACCTTCTTGTCTTTGTATGTCTTTATAGCCTGTAATGATGCAGGACTGGCGTATCTGAGCCAAAACCGATGTTCTGGGAAGACCTGGGCAAAAGTCAGAATCATGGCTTCCTCTATGAAGCGAGTCCGTTGAGAAGAGCTCAGACGTGGACCGGACAGGGCCCGAAAAAGACCTGGACCCTCAAAACAAAGCTGATGCACCTGTGTTCGGTTTGTGCACGTGCCTGCATGCCCACGCCGCCGCAGGCATTCCCTCCCTTTCAAAGCCCTCCACAGCTTACCGAGCCTCCTACTCCCTCATGCCATACAAACTCACAGGTCAGGAGGGCAGGGGGTGGACCTTGGGGGCAGAAAAAAACCCAAATACGATCATGAAAACCCTACGCCCGTTCCAGGCTGTTTTTGGGCCTCTCAGGGCTCTGTCCGAGGGCTGTCTTCTGCCCTTGTTCAGGCTTTTTCTTGACCTCGCTGGGGTGCAGGACCTTGTTTGGGCTCTCTATGCCATTCTCAGGCTGTCCGCATACAGTGCATCAGGAGACACGGGCAACGGGCAGAAACACTCCCCACAAGAATTTATGCCCAGCCCTGAGCAAGGTGCCAACAACGACAGGGGCCCTGAGCACAAACGGTCCGCAGGCCAAGCGCAAAGTGAGGGGCAAGCAATCAACTGACTAAGTGACATATCGAAACGATTCCTGACGGCATTTGCCAAGCAAAGTCCTACAGACTCCCCACTTGAAAAGCTCAGGGTGGCTGGGCCTGGCAGTTTGCGCTTTGCGCCGATGTTGCCGCCAACAGGTCGGAGGCCTGATGTGTCCTCAGCAACAGCTGCGTAGAATATGCCATGAGCATCCAGTATGCACCTGAACTTCCGCAAAAGTGCTGGCGCATCTGCTCCGGAGCGTCCTAATGTTCCGACTCACGGTCTCCGACCTCGCAATCCTCCCAAAATCCATCCCCAGATTTTCCGCCGCCCCGCAATCTACCGAAGTGTTTCCAAAGCATGGTGCTTCCTGCGCGTCTTGGGAACGACATGCGAGCCAACCCTGGACCAGGTCACTGTCGCTTCCGGGGCAGTATCTCGCTTCCAGCGTTGGTTGCTTAGCGTCGCCAAAATTTCTGTTGTCCTTCCAAATCTGCTCTTGACTGTAGCTGCTGATGCGAGGCATGACCGTTATATGCTCGACGTTGTGTCCTCACGGTTCAAGCCGGCCCCTAGCTTGATTAATTGCGCATGCTTGTACAAGTGCTATTCAGTATTGTTGTGTAGTTGGCTTGGTGGTGCTGTAGGCCTGCTGTGGGCCTACAAGGCCATACAGGGCCTACAGTTTTAATTGCCAAGTTTGCCCTGTCTCAATCAGCGTCTCTCACCTCATGCTGGGCCACCGCACGGAATGAGAAGGTTCAGCGCCTTTCTATGCTATCTTTATGAAACTCTCATACCACACCATGTGCGGGAGCCACTGGGAGGCCCAGCCTTTGGGTTTTCCGCAGCAGCCTGCTCCGTGCCGCTTTTCGGCGGAAGCCTGCACGCACGAGTCTGAAACGAAAATCGAAGCCACAGTTTCCGAGGAGCATGCAACACCTGACCGACCTGGTGCGCCGAGCTGTCCTTTTCTGTTGCGCTTTCTCGTGAACCTGAGGCTAACACTGGCAGTCCTTTAGTCATTTAGCTAAGTGGCACAAAGCCTGCTTCTCGACTCGCACATGCGCTTGCAACCTTGGTCAACATGCGCAGCAAGAACTGTGGCACGTGAGCTGCAAGATACACACAATTCAAATCCAGGATGCGCGTCTGGGTCTGACTTCGTGTCCTCAAAGACTGTCCCGTCTGCTTTGCTGCGACGCTGTGTCGTGAGAACATGTCAAGACGGCAGCAAGACATGATGGCGCACCCCATCTTTGGGCAATCGAATGGCCGCGTTTGAGAAATGCCCCTACTACCTCCTATAATCTGGGTCCTTCACAAGAGTGTCCACAGCTTCGCCTGTTTGCACCCTCAGCAAGATCGGCCCAGTGCACGAAGATTGAAATCATGTCCGCACATCCACGTCAGCTTCTCAGCTCCATGCCCTGCTGTTGTCAGGCCATCAGGGCTTCGGCTCTTGTCTTTTCGATTTCTTTTGTTTCGGCATTCAGCTTCAGTCACCTCAAGTCTGATGCGAGTGCGGTTTGCACGAGAAGAGGCAACGCTGCTGTACTGAAGCACCCTGGCAAACAGAGCAGCATACTGCACCTCTGAGGACTCATCTCCCGGATCTCTTTGCAAGAGAGAAATGAAGCACCCACTATGAGAGGGCTAAGGAGGTCGAAAGTGCAGAAAGGTCAGACATCTAAATTTAGGTGCCTTGGCAAAGCAATTGCAGAGCATCACGCTGTGTCAGTCGCTCTCCGCTTCTTACGCGTTTGCGGCAGGGTAGGCGGAGTTACTACTCCTGTGGTGGTTGTAGAGCCTTTTGCTGTCACACTGGCCAGTGTGGCACGCATGCCCTGCAGAACGAACGCAGCCGCAGCCTCATGTGAGTCTTCTGGCTTCCGCTTGCTCACCACACCTGATGAGAAAAAATGCAGCACCATCTTTGACGTAAACGCAAGGCTTTCAACATGTGCTGCCAAGTTTCTCGGTACTTCTGGCTGGCCCAGGAGCGGTCTTTCAGGAGGTGGTGATCTGAGCACCTCAAAGGCTTAGGTACGCTTCGGCGAATCTGAATTTTTTTGACTCTATCGTCTATTGCTTACGCCGTGGTGGTGCCTTGCATAGATATCGTTGAATACTAAACCTTTTGCGGCATTTAACATCATCTGGATTAGAAAGCCCAAGACTTCATTGATGCCATACTCGAACTTGCCAAGGCATCCAGCCTATGGTTTCAAACCCTCCTCTCAGTCACTCCCCACCCATCATCTCGGATGATGGTGCAGTGCCTTATACAGTACGGGCAATGGCTTGTCTTCTCTATCGCCTAGGATCGATCTCAGAAGCTTTCCTCCGGTCCTCTGCTGCATAACCCGTCATTTCCGGTATTATTCCGAGTGCTCTGCAAAGTTTTGTGACAGTTGGACGCAAGATCCACGAGGATGCACAGGGCAAAGCCAGCAATGCTCTACGGGAGGTGCAAAGTGAAGCAGACAACTCCAGGCCAGCGTGTGTCAAAGGTCAAGTTGGGGCTGTAGCGTTAAGGAGTTGGCCCACTGGGTTTGGTGAAGCTGTTGCCACTAGGGCTTGGGGATTATCGAGTTCTGGCTGAAGGAGGCTGAACGCATGTACGCTCCAGAGATTTAGGTTTTCAGGCGCCTTCAGAATGTTCTGGGTGCAGCTCCAAGGCTCACTACTTAATTTTTTTCCTGTTCTTGATGACTCTGGAGATTCAGGATGTCAGCATTTAAGTCCTTAGGTCGAGGAGTTTCAGATTCTTGGTTGGTTTTTACAACAACAAAGCGTGGGGCCCCGCGTCTTGTTCTGGGGTGCGGGTACCAGCTCAGAGCTTCAAGGTTCTGATTTGCAAGTTTTAGGATGGCTAGGATAAAGGCTTGTGGTCTTAGAGGGCCTTTAAGCTCTCCTGTTTGCGCTCTTGCGATGCCTTTCAGATTCTGAGCTTGAATCGCGCGGTGCGAGCCCTTCAATTCAGGCGTTGAACCCCTTTGCACCTAGGCTGGATTTCTTTGGATTGGCAAACACATTACAAGGTCAACAGGAAAACATGACAGCTAGCTTCTCAACACGGCAGATGAGAAGGCGTCCAATAGTAAAACGCCTTGCTCCCATTTTTTGTTACCTTTCCTGCTGTCGACTTGAGTGCCTGATGGTTTTCTGTACCCCTCAGGATTTAGGCATCCAATATGCGTTGCAAAGGTCTGTCAGACTTGGGAAGGGTTGCAATGTACGGTTATGTTGAGACGCAGAGTCCGGGTTTCAATGGGAGTTGATGGCATTTCCAAAACGTAAGAATACGTAAGATGTGTCTAAATAGTGGGCGGTCATCCAAAACTGGCTGAAAATGCTGGTTCATTGCAAGTGCTGTGTCAGAATAATCATGTCAAAATGTGTCAAGGAGCGCTATCGAGATACCAATTGGTCTCTGTTGGGCGTTGGGGGATAGGGATTTGCAACAAGGGTCTACATGGGCAATATGGGCATATACTATAGGCCCTGTCAGAAGATTACGGGATTTCGGGAGTAGGGCTTGTGGGATCAGGGCTGGATTTAGCATTTCTGGTCGATGCACACAAAAAAGATCTTGGGGCTCAGTTTTGGGGCTTCGAGTTCTGTTCGAGTGGGACCTTCCACTGCCACTCCAACGTAAATGTTTTCTTCGGCGCAAGTCTTCGTGAATGAGGTATTTTCTTCGCAGGCAATCGTACGCCGTGGCTAACACAAAAACGGTTCTTGCTTACGCGCGCGGCCTGCAGCCATTTTTCTTCAAGGTACACGCTGATGACGGCAACCTCGCTGTTAAAGTACAAATTTGTGTTGCCCTTCCTTTTGCGCAAGGTGCCACCCAACACAGAAAGTCTTGTCTGATTTTTGTCCAGAAACAATCGGCAAGGAGCTTGCCCACACTGTGCTGGGTAGTCTGTTGTTTTCTGTGGGAGCTGGCTGGGTGCTTTCCCATTTCCGTGTAGCCTCCACCCATTTATTCAGCTGCGCCTTCAAACAGCCTGAACAACTTGATGGCAGGCAGCTTGAATACGTCTTGCGCTGCACTGGACTTGTGCTAAAACTTTTTGTTTACGCGGTAACAGCGGCCGTCCAATGCCGCCACCCGAAAGTTGTCGGACTCGTCTAACAGCAATGGCCATCCGAGCCGGCAACATGCTTCACGAAATTTGTGGGATGGGCTGAGCGAGGCTCTGGACAAGCTGTGTGTCCTCAAGCGTACAGTCTAATTAATGGCACCGCCCGGTGTGCCCTCCACCCTTGCAAAACACTTGCATTCCTGGAAGGCAAGGGTGTCAGTTTTCCTTCTGAATCCAGTCGCGTTGTCTGAGGGTGCGGCCCTACCAGCTGCACCAGTTCCTTACGAATGCCGCCGTGCGAACACTGATGCTGGCGAATATCAACTTTTGATTGGCCGAATTCGCTGATTAAGTTCTGCTCTGATGCGCTTCCCTGTAGGCGGAGGCTCCTGTCAAACGGAAGCTTCATCCGACAACCATCCAGACTGCAACAAGCTACAGCAGGCCTTGAAGCGCTTTCTTGGTGCTCCCTGTCTGAAGCTGAGCTTTGTGAACTCTCGGGCCGAGTCTGTCAAGATCAAGACTTCCTCTTTGAAGGTGACGCTCCGCCGTCTTGGCAAAGCTTCAGGCGTCCTTCCTTGCGCGTGCAACAGGTTCAGGCCAACCCTGTATGCCCGAAACTAAGAACTTGGAACTTTCGCAGCGCACGTGTGGCATTCAAGTCCTGGCTGCGCAGGCGGATTTCGAGCACCCTGATCCACTTCGACCTCTAGGCTGCTGAATGCTTTGGATCCGACATCAGGCAAGCATGTGACCACATGTCTGCCCTGGAAGTACCACCACAAAGGCAAGTCATGCGGATGGACAAACAAATGGCTTCGGTATGAAGCTGTGAACTTTCTCTACTAGAATCGTTTTCAAGGTTTCATGTAGAAGTGGCTAGCTGAGCAAGGCATAAACGGACACATACTGCCCGGGCAGAGTTGGTCCATGACACTGAGATCAGATTTGCATTTTGAAGCTTCTTCTGCTTAATAGGCATGAGACGCGCCGTCTCACGTGCCCTCGTGTCTGCCCTCGAGCTTCAAAGGCACTTAGTTAAGCGGAAGTGCACTATGGATGCGTCTTTGCATGCGGGCTAGGTTCTTGCTCAGGCAAATGCGCATCTCCTGAGCTTGAGATGTCTTGTTATTGTTCCGATGCTGGGCCCAAGTGTTTTGTCATGTTGATTTTGTCTATTTCTCTCTCAACAAACTAAATTTCACATCTTGGCGCCCGAGATGTGAGGCATGCACCTGCTTGACGCGCTGCTTGACATGCCAGGAGAAAGGACTTGACACAGAATAGCACGTGGAATAGGAAATGGAATGGCAGCTCTGTAGCTCTGTTCGATTTTGAGCAGCTGGCCTCGGAGGCTTCGCTTTCACTGCTTTCCGATTCCCGGCTGCTCTCACTGTCGCTTGTTTCGTCACGGCTCGCGCCATAGCCGTAGCCATAGCCTGGCATGGCCTTGGAATCTTGGCCACTTCAGAGGCCCTTGCTGAGCAAAGTAACAACTCAGGCGAGCCTTTGAGCTCCAAGGCTGGGCCCGCGAGCCATCATCAAGTCAACATGCCGCACATTACTTTCAGGCGTCAAGCTGCGTAGCGCATGAGTCTGGTGCTATCCAAGTCATGGCTGATGTCCGCTGGGTGTCTGGGTGAAACCTTCATGGCAAACCAATGCCATTGGTACGTGCTGCATTTAGTGCATCGTGCTATGAAGTTTCAGCTGCTAACAGGTTTGGACCTTATGGCCGCGAAAGCCAGGAGAGGACAGCTGCGAGCACATGAACGCATGTGTCACTGGAAGAAGATTGAGACTCAAGCCTTATTGTTTCAGCGCAGCATTAAGTCCCGGCCCATTCATGGCTACAGGACGTCTGTGCGGCCGCGCCCCTGCGTCCCTGCTTAACAGGAACACAGTGGCCATTTTGACGCTGTGCTCAGCAAAAGGCATAGGGGGCGATTAGTCAGCAAACATTGAAAGGAAGCACGCTGCATTCAATGACGCAGGTTGCCCTGCTGCAGGCAGCAGCACTTGGCCTGCAATGGCTTGACTGCTCAGGCTTTTGACTTCTTCTTGCCTTGGCACATCTACCGGCGACCGTGGCTCACACAATATGTTGAACATTGTTGAACGTGAAGGCATCTGAGAGTTTGGCCTGCTGACCTGCAGATAGTCACTGAAAAGAATTAGTGCAACGATATGCGGTTGAGTGTGCTGTGCATGCTGTCATCTTGGTTTCGCACTTTGGCTTGGCCTCAGCCTTGACCTCTTTCGCTTCTTTGGGTTCCTCCTTTTTGGGCAACTCGTGCCTGACAAGGGCTCCAGGAGCTGCACATGCTGCACGTATTGCTGCACGTCATGAACCTCCATTGGCAGTTCTTGTCTTTACACGAGCCATGCTTGCTGAAGGCGTAGCACAGATCCCATTTGTCTGTGAACTTGGCACCTTAGCTGCTTTAGCTTCTGCCCCTATCCGTTCGAACTTCTATTGCGACCTGTCATGCATTCTGCCCTGTTGTCCGGGCTGCACACTGAGACGTTCCCGACGGGCCTGAATTGAGCTTCTTCTGCTGTATGCAATACGAAGTAGGGCTAGCGCAGCAGACTTGCTGGCCTGTTCTATGCGATCTGCCTTGCTCTCCACGGTTGGCTGGACCACTGGAGGCGCCTCCAAACAGCCGCATTTCCCTAAAGCTAGAGAGCTTGCGGGCCATGGGAACACTGAGGTCACACAAGTACCAGAATTACCTGATCGGGAATGGCAAGCTTCCTAGGAGGAGAGTAAGGGAGTTCAGCTGCGCGAAAGGGAACTTCTTCCCTGCCCGATACCTGCTGCCCTTCTTGCTTATTGTAAGCATCCTTTTGTGCTCGTCTTCTGTGTAGAACCTGAGATTTTTGATCGACATTAACTTGGGGTAGATGAGGCGTGTGGAAAAAACGTCGACACAATTTTGAAGAATAACTCATTCCTTTGGCACGTTTGGGCAAGTGATTCGACAGCCGTGAAGTTCGTTGATGTCAACCTGGTTGTTGGTGCATGCCAACAACCAGAAAACAATTAATGAATTCAATGCAACATAAGACATAGCCGTATCTATGCAGGGATCTGGCAGCCACCGAAAAGGCTTGTTTCACGCCCTTGGGTGGAGGCATGCCGTGGCCAACCGCCCTGCTTTGGCTCTCCCGTTTGGCTGACTGAAGCATGCCGGTAAATCCATAGCCCGGCTCAATACTAATGATGATACAAGGTTGTGCCGAAATGCATGGACTGGGCCTGTCCTGTCCTACCCTCTTGAGATGCCCAAGTTTCTGTCCTGCAGTTTCGAATGACCAACACCTCATCACTCGCGCTAAGCCATTCTAATGGCCCCACAGGTCTTGGCTTGGATGCTAAGCCCCAGAAATACAAATGGAATGGTCCTGTCGCGGCAGCAAATCCGGCACCCCACCGAGAAAGCAAACTCTCACCATGCAAGCGCGGCCATCCGCAGGGACTTATCCAGTATTCAAAAAGAACGTCAACGGAACATTTCAGTGAAGTACTTCGGTACCGCAGCCTGCCGAACACAGTTGGGTGCTGAGACTCCACAATCGCGCACAACCTGACTGGCGCTGATCATAAGTTAGAGCGCCACCTGCTTTTTGGCCGGCGCCGCTTTGCTGTTGTTGGCCTCACCTCTAGCTTCACTGATCGCCAAAAAGCAAAGACTGCCGCTGCTAACCGGTCCAAGAGCGTAACGTCCACGAGCAAAGGCTGCTGGGCCATGTTGTGTCAGCCATTCGACTGCCTTCACCATGACCTGGTCATCGCGTGCACATGGCTTGGGTACTCATGCCAGGCAACTGAAGTCTACGTGCTGGCCTCCGAGCCCTCCAGGTTGTGCAGCTCGGTGCGCAAAGTTCTGTCAGCAAGACTCTGCTCAGCATGTCATCCCTGGCACATGTCTTTGCATCTGAGCAAATGTCCCTTGAAGGCTTTGAACTGCTTCGCGCATCCAAGTAGGCAATCCTTCAAGTATGCGCTCTTGAAGTGACAGCCGCGTGCTGAAATATTGAAGCAGGTACCGCCTTCATCTGCTGCCTTGAGAGTCACGGCGGGCTCGTGAAGAGGATAAAACCTTGATGCATCGCAAGATATCGCATGAAGCACAAAGGCAGAGCTGGCTAGTGGGGAGCATCGGCTAAGATTGCCACGGTGGCAGCGCAAACTCCAGATGCACCTGGAGCTGCCCACAAATGACTGGCCCACAACGCGAACGCCAAAACCCCCGAGCCCGAAATCAGAAGAATTGAATTGCGGATGTGTTTCTCGCAAGGATTACATAAAAATTACGGCTTGGCAGAGGTCATTTTGCTGCGAACATCTGCAACAACAACGCTCGTAGTTTGCGGCAGCCACTCAGCTCCGGAAGCGCAACCCAGCTCCAACGACTACGAAGGCTAGGGTGATTTGGGCAGCGGATGATGCCCTAGAAAGGTCGAAGCACAGCCTCAGGGATTGTTACAGATGCTAGGGATACTGAGAGGGCTCTCAGACACCTAACAGAAGCATTTTGACTGCAGGAACCCCATGAGGATCTGACTGTGCATCCGCCGCCTGGGCCGTCCACATGCTGGGTAACCTGCCAAACAGAGCCCATCACTCTACATCAGTCTGTCAACTGCCGTGATAAAAACAGTAGCAAGCTTGAAGCCACACTCTCGCACTCTTCACCTGTCTCATGATCTGATCCCATGCTGGCCTGTACGCGCAGAGGATCTGGGCTGCGACTAACATGTCCCCTGGACAAGCACTCCTGGCCATCAGGCAAGAAGACAGTCAACTCTTGCCTCGGGCCTTGAAAGGACCTGGCTTTGTTCCTTTTCGTTGCCTTCATGCTCGACAGCCCGTTGCGGCACCGGAGACAGTGGTGATGACGGTAACAGCAACACACGATAACAACGAACAAGCAGGTGTCACTTTGTCATTCAAAGCACGCGGCCCTTCCCCTCAACCACGACTTCAATCAAAGGGTTTTCTCAGGTATTTTGGCCTGTCCAGACGGCACCTGTAACTCCAACTCCCACCACAGCACAGCAAACCAGGTACAGTACTACTGCTGCTGCTTCAAGCAGTTTTACAAGAAGGTTACGAGTTCATAATATCCAGAGAGGTCAGGAAAAAGAAGGTGCTTGATATTGACAGGACAAGCTTACTCCATACTTCTTCGAGTTGTTGTCTCGCTGCTTCACAAAGCCAAGATGGAATGCATTATGATGAAACTAATGAAAAGAAGCTCTCGTTTTCCTATTGAGAGGTGGCAGGGCCTCTAGCCGGCAAAGATTCTGGTGTCCTGTTTTGAAGCCATTTTGATGTATAGGAAGTGGCGGTTCTTGCTTTCATGAGAATAGAGGCAACGTCTTTAGCTTGTACTGAGGACAGGCTTGCTTGGATACAGCAGGGGATTGGTCATCAACAGCCAAGGAGTGACCGAGCGACTCTGCGTCAATTGGAACCTGGATCGCTTCTATTGGAGGACCAGCGTGTCTCTCACATCCCGAATATTAACTAGGAGGCTCGTCTGAGCAAATTCGGCGCGTCACTTTGTAAGTAAGAGGGCTCCTGTTGATCATCACAAAAACAAATGAGCTTTGAATAGTCACTTTAATTGTGCGCAATCACAAGACGATTTCCCAAACCTCTCTACATCCTAGCATGACATGCGAGCCGTCTTCATCTCAACAAGAAGCCCGTTTATCACATGCAAGACGCAAGGGTGTCCCAAGCTTTCCTGATACTCGCCAAATACTTCTCGTTGTAAAATGTCCACTTCTAGGCTCCTGGTGGGCCAGAATTGCTTTGAATGTGTTAAAGCCTGAAAAGTTGCTAAAATGCTTGAATTTCCTTTTTTTGAAGTCATCTGCTGAGGGCGGGTGCCTAGTCTCCATAATGATCCCATAAAAACTCATAGAAGACCCCGGTAGCTTGTAAGAGTGCTACAGTATTCAAGGCCCGTCGGAGATTGAATGCCTGTAGACTACGCAATTGAAGTGGGCTTTCTTGTTTTTTGGAAACGCTCAATTTCCCGTAAGAATTCATAGCGAGCAGCGAGCTCGGCAAAACTCAAACACTCGACATCGCACCAACAAGATTGTGCAGGATATCAGGAAGTTTAGGTTTCTCAACTTCACGAGAAAGGACACTGTCGAAAATGTGTTAGCAAATTTGGGAACTGCCCTTACAACGAAATTTTAAATAATCCAAAGAATTGTGAAGGCACGTTGAAATCAATATGAGGACATCCTCAAATCCAAAAAACTCTTCAAAGTGCTACAATTGCAACAGCTTCAGGAATTCTAGACATTCCCTTCCTAACGACATTTCCAGAAGCCCCTTAACTTCTTGAAATCTTAGACGTGCAAGAAATGCTTGGCGGCCAAGCCCTGCAATTTAGAACTTCCGAGTTAAAAAATCTCTG